CTTTTTCCCATATCTTCACCAACATACCAATTGACAAGAGCTCTCTTGGCATACATCAGATCAAATTTATGATCAAGACGAGCCCAGGCTTCAGCAATAGCAGTCGTGTTACTCAACATACAAATAACTAAGTAACAAAAGGCTAAGTCACCTCCTGGTACAACAGTTGGTGTTTGGTAGTTGATACCGACTTTGAAACCAGTTGGGCACCAGTCAACAAATTGGATGGTTCTCTTGGTTTTAATGGTTGCAATAGCAGCGTTGACATCCTTGGAAACAACATCACCTCGGTACAACATACAGCAAGCCATGTATTTACCATAACTAGGATCACTTTTGACCATCTGATTGGCTGGCTCGAAACAAGCATTGGTGATTTCAGCAACAGAAAGTTGTTCATGGTAGGCTTTCTCGGCAGATATGACCGGAGCATAGGTAGCCAATGGGAAATGGATACGTGGGTAAGGAACCAATTGGTCTGGAACTCAGTTAGATTGACATTCAGAGCACCATCAAATCGGAGCGAAGCAGTAATGGAGCTGACGATTTGACCAATCAGTCTGTTTAGGTTGGTGTAGGTTGGTCTTTCAATGTCTAGGTTTCTTCGGCAGATGTCGTAGATAGCCTCGTTGTCCACCATGAAAGCACAATCAGAATGTTCCAGTGTGGCATGGGTTGTAAGGATGGAGTTGTATGGTTCTACTACAGCAGTTGATACTTGTGGAGCAGGATAAACAGCAAACTCCAGCTTGGATTTCTTGCCGTAATCGACGCTCAATCTTTCCATCAACAAGGAATAGAAACCAGATCCGGTTCCTCCACCAAAGCTGTGGAAGATTAGGAATCCTTAAAGACCAGTACATTGATCAGCCAGTTTCCTGGTTCTATCAAGAACCAAATTAATGATCTCTTTGTCCACGGTGTAGTGACCTCGAGCATGGTTGTTGGCAGCATCCTCTTTACAAGTGATGGGTTGTTCAGGATGGAAGAGTTGACGGTAAGTACCAGTCCGGACTTCATCCACAACTGTCGGTTCCAGATCAACAAATACAGCTCTTGGAACATGTTTACCAGCTCCAGTCTTACTGAAGAAAGCGTTGACGGAATTATCGCCACCTCCAATAGTTTTATCAGAAGGCATCTGACCATCAGGTTGGATACCATGTTCTAAACAGTACAACCCCCAACAGGCATTGCCCATTTGGACACCAGCTTGACCAATGTGGATAGAGATACACTCACGCTGAAAGGAAAATATTCCAGTCAGAAGAGGACTTTGGTATTAAAGTAGACAACATATCTGCAAAATCTTATTTTGCCTTGATCTTGAGTAAAAACGTCTTATCAAATCAGCAAATAAATCATGCGGACTGTTAATGAGGTGGTTTTTTTTACCTGAATTCTCAGTAATTGTATTTTAAATAACATCAGAATGGTGTCAAAAACAAAACAAATTTCTTTCTTTCTTTTTGTCAACAATTGATTATGAATCGTCTTGTCATTCATTACAATTATATTTAAGAACAATGTAGTATTGCGAAAAAGAAATCTATTTCTTTGAAAAGTGAAAGAAATGTTACGTCCTTCAGACTACTCCTAGGTTTTACTATTTTGTAATTTAGAATAATAAGATATACTTCTTAACATTTTACTAGTCTACCCCGGAGTTAAAAAGTGAAACGAAACGATTATACTTACCATATTGAAGGTTTATACAAGTTGAAACTGAACAAAGTTAAAACTGACAAGGAATCTTGCAGGTAGAGTTGAAGCTAACCAAGGCAAGATGTTACCACTGAATGTAGAGTTGGTGATTTAAACTGGTAATTTATACCTGAAATATGAGATCTATTGTCTTGTTGTTTGTTTGTTGTTAGATACAGTTGGGAACATTAATCACGTGCAGTAATCCTGACAGTGATTTTACTGAAATGAGATTAACGTTAATATAGATTAATGAACTGATTGGATTAACAATTCGGATTAAATGTAATTAATGTGATTAAAAGTCAATGTTGTTGATAAGGTTATTACAATTTTCATGGTAACTGTAAACCTAGTCGGATATAAAACACTGACAATTCTCAACCAAATCATTCCACTTTCAACTACATTTCACTTCTCGACTCTAGTCAGTTCTCACAACAATCAACATGAGAGAAATCGTTCATATGCAAACTGGTCAATGTGGTAACCAGATCGGAGCTAAGGTAAGTAAATACTTCAATGTTCCCACAGATCTCCAAACGAAACATTGTCACTTCAGCTGGTTGGAAAACGTACCATTTATTAAGCATTTCATACGCCCATCCTTACTCTGCGATTGCAAGGTTAAATGTCAATGTAAAGTATGAATTATTCCTATGATATAACACTTAAAAAGACTTATCAAAAAGTTCAAATTAACAAAAAGTTTAGGTCAGATAACCATAGTTTTGAAGAATTGAAAAAGGAAGTATTTTTATATGAATTGATACATTTTCTTTTAGTTCTGGGAAGTGATCTCTGATGAACATGGTATTGACCCAACTGGAACTTACCACGGTGATTCTGATCTTCAGTTGGAGAGAATCAACGTTTATTATAATGAAGCTACCGGTGGTAAATATGTACCCAGAGCTGTTCTCGTCGACTTGGAACCTGGTACCATGGATTCTGTAAGATCAGGACCTTTTGGTCAGATCTTCCGACCAGATAACTTTGTATTCGGACAATCTGGTGCTGGTAATAACTGGGCTAAAGGTCATTATACAGAAGGTGCTGAATTGGTAGATTCCGTTCTTGATGTGGTCCGCAAGGAAGCTGAAAGTTGCGATTGTCTACAAGGATTCCAGTTGACCCATTCTCTTGGCGGTGGAACTGGGTCTGGTATGGGAACCCTCCTCATCAGTAAAATCCGAGAAGAATATCCAGATAGAATCATGAACACCTTCTCTGTTTGTCCTTCACCAAAGGTAAGTTTTTAATACCACTTTTCTCAACAGTATCAAATGTCTTTTTGGAGTTCATGTAGGTATATCACATACATTGTTGTACATAGTCAGCAATTCCATGATAAAAGTTGGCGCCATTTGTCTACGGTCGACTTTCATCAATTTCAATTTATTTGTTGTCTTCAAACACGTCCTGACCTTTTCAGCCAATACCAAACCAGTTAAATGACAAATTTCTTATAATTTCAGGTATCTGATACAGTTGTGGAACCTTACAACGCCACCCTCTCAGTTCATCAACTGGTAGAAAATACAGACGAGACTTACTGTATTGATAATGAGGCTCTATATGATATCTGTTTCCGTACCCTCAAACTGACCACACCCACTTACGGTGACCTCAACCACCTGGTATCAGCCACCATGTCTGGAGTGACCACCTGTCTTCGATTTCCTGGTCAACTCAATGCCGATCTCAGAAAGCTGGCCGTGAACATGGTGCCTTTCCCACGTCTTCATTTCTTTATGCCAGGATTCGCTCCTCTCACCTCTCGAGGTTCCCAACAGTACCGAGCCCTCACTGTACCCGAACTCACCCAACAGATGTTCGATGCCAAGAACATGATGGCTGCCTGTGATCCTCGTCGTGGTCGTTATCTGACAGTAGCTGCCATGTTCAGAGGTCGTATGTCAATGAAGGAGGTAGATGAACAAATGTTGAATGTTCAGAATAAGAACAGCAGCTACTTTGTTGAGTGGATTCCCAACAATGTGAAAACTGCCGTTTGTGATATTCCACCAAGAGGTCTGAAGATGTCTGGAACATTTATTGGTAATACGACAGCCATTCAGGAACTGTTTAAGAGAATCTCTGAACAGTTTACAGCTATGTTCAGAAGAAAGGCTTTCCTCCATTGGTATACTGGTGAAGGTATGGATGAGATGGAATTTACTGAAGCTGAATCCAACATGAATGATCTGGTATCTGAATATCAACAGTACCAGGATGCTACAGCTGAAGAGGAGGGAGAATTTGATGAAGAAGAAGGGGAACAAGACGAAGCTTAAACAAAACGCAATATTTATATTTTAATTATTCTTATTCTATTTATTAAAACTGTTATTTCTAAAGTGTATTGTCAATTATATGCTGAAAATCAGAACTTGTCATTATATCTATCGAAGGGTGTGTCCATTTATCTGAATTTCCTGAAGAAGGCAGAACGGAATCTACCAATTCAGCACCTTCTGTATAATGACCATTAGCCCTATTATTACCAGCACCAGATTGTCCGAAGACAAAGTTATCTGGTCGGAAGATCTGACCAAATGTATATTGTAATTACCATTTTATTTTCTGTGCTCCATTACAATCGTCTCCTCGGCGATGCAAATCATCTGACACCATCGACACCCAAATATTTCATTTCCTATCATGCCCCTAGCTATAGGGAAAAAATGATTGTTCCCCTGAAAAACTTCGGACGACTTACTAATTCCATTACTGTAAACAATACAATACACCATTGCTCCCCCGGATATATATCTTAGTACCATGCCCTTTCCGGGATGAAATATGGAGATCAGAAAAATGAAAACAATATATCAAATGTATTTTAAAAAAGGCGTAATAAATTATACAATATATATACATTTGTATAATACAGGGTTAGAAATTACAGAAATTAGAGCCCCCTCCTACAAATCCTAGAGTATAATAGATATGGACAAAAACTAAAGTGATTTTGAACTGATATTTATTAAAGTTTCTCTCTGGGTATCTATTATTTCCTGTGGTTTCCATCTGCCTGTACCACAGCCTTGGTTTTAGCTAGATTCAGGTACAAACTTAGGGTTTTATTATCAAGTAACAAGGAGTACATGGTCCGGTGTATTATGTAGGTCTTGTCATATGATACAGCAGAGTTTATTTCTCCATAATGATAACAAGATCCACATTTATTCCTTAAATAATTGAAGGGCATATATAAACAAAAAAAGCAATGGTAATTTGGAGTGATGCAAAATGAAGCTCCCGAGGGCTTATAGACAACTATAACTAACGAAAAATACACATTGTATGTATTGAAAGATCGTCCTTTTATTTTGTTTTTCCAGTGTTAGTATCCAACACTAAGAAATTGCTTTAGGGTTATTTTCAACGTGTCGCCACTTATTCAATCTCTTTATAAAATATTAGCCTCAAATTATGTATTGTGTTGTGTCATGATATCCTTCACTTTTAGTTCCCTAAATCTCCCAAATACCAATATAACTCCCGAGTCCTCCCCTTTTTCATACCAATTCTAGCACCAGCCTGGTGACCAAGTGTTGTTGAATTTTGTTGGGTCAGCGGCGAAATCCGGTAAGATCGGGAAATTTGGCTTAACGTAAAAAGTTTTTCTGTAATATTCCAATCTTGCCTTTAACTTGGCAACTATTTCTGGGTTCTTTGTTGATAGATCGTTGTGTTCTGTTGGATCCTCTGAAAGGAAAAGCATTCGTGTTAAAACTGTGATTTCGGAAATAACGTAAAGGGATTTTCCAATTTTCCAGATTTTACAGGGATTCTGTTGTAACTTAATGACACCAGGTAAGTTCACTGATGAATATATACTCATATTGACCATTCTTTAGAACTTAAATTTAATGTTCATTCTAAGACGTAGTATCAATTTAAGAGTATACATTGCTATCATTGTATTGAATCATTATCATGCTCTCTGTTTCTAATAATTGAGTAGGATGATCCGGCCAATACAGGTCTTGATAACTGACGTTTTAAAACTCCATCTTTGTTACCTTTAATATTGAAAAGCTGGTACCCGTTGTCAGCTTTATAACCTTCTCTCGCCATAAATTCCTCTACTGGATCATCGAGAGAACTCATTTCTGTGTCGGGCTTATACCAGTCAGGAAAAAGACCAGGATAACCTTCTATCAGCTTATAATCTCCCATTCTGAAAAGAATATAATAGAATGCTGATTGCATGATCAGACTAATGAAATTAAACTGAGTTTTACGTTGTAATGTTTTACACTCGATTGGATTTATAAAATGAAATGGACGATGCACTCGTCTAAAGTTTAGAGTCCTCCTGGACTGTGGTGGGTTGACGTCAATGGGCGGGTATGATATGGGGGTTTAAAAACCCAGGGACTAATTTTACTTAACTAAGAAAGATCTTAATATTCTTGTCATTTGATTGGTCAATCAGTAAAAGTAAGATTTATAACCAATGAAATTTCACGTCCTACTTTTCTGCACCTTTTTTATAAATGTTAGATGGTACGAGGAATCCACAGGACAGGTAACATAGGTATGATGAAGAATATAAAAAAATAATACCTTATACCAGCATGGCCTTCAACTGGTGGGAAATCATCATCAATATTATAAATAAATTCTGTTCTATTTTCTCCAGAACCGGTAGATATTGATTTCCATAGATCTTGTCCGTCTCGACCAGTTACTGAAATATTGTCAAATGCAAACTGAACCATGGCTAATAATACCTTTATAGACCTACTGTTTCACAACATTTTTAACGATTTGTCATTAATTTGCTGAAAACATGCGAAGATTATGACACTGGAATAGGTCTAAAACTGTAAAACTGTTAATATAATATTGTAAACCCTTTATCATTGGCATAAACAGGAAGGGGTTAAAGGGTACTAGTCGCTTTTGAGGGTAGAGAATGCAGTGAAAGAATGATTTCTTCTGCGGGGTCTTGGCATTGCCCTTTATACTGTTCCATTACAATTTCTCCCAAAAAAGCAAGATTATCAAACTGCACGTTTTAAACAAGACATCGGAAAGGGTCAAATCAGTTCCTAAATCATTGTCAAATTTAAACTCTACCATACCTTTTATATAGCTATCACTTCTGTTTCATTACAATTTAGGATCTAATTGAAGGCTTTCAATAAAACTTCTCCGATAAGTCAAAATTGCAAACATCATGATAACAAAAACGTCAACTTTATAAAAACTTTTTTTTAGATTTCACCATTCCTTGAGCGAGATTTTTATTTGACGAAATTATCTTGCCTGTGCTGATTTTTATTATTTCTTTACAAAAGAAAAAAAAGTCTACCTGAACCGCCAGCAGCACTCACCAATGTCGGTAACCAATCAACAGCATGGATTAATCTAGAAGAAAAATTAAATTAATGTTTTAACACATAGTGAAAGTGTAACCCGAGGGCAATATGGTGTTAAACGATTAAGATTTAAAAAAGAACAAGAAAACAAAGTAAGCATATCGATTCATTACGTAAGAGCGTTATATTGTAATTTTACTAAACAAACTCATAAGTTTCCCAAATATCAAGCAGATTGTGATATATAAGCAGAAATAAAATGAATGGAGTTGTAGTCATACAATATTTATTAAGCATAGAGCCACCAGGGCCACGACTGAACTTGAATGTAGTAATATAAGACTCATTTTGTTGTTTTCGTACAAAGGGCCTTCACAATGTGAAAAGTGTAAATCTGCGAAATGTCATAATAACCACCAGAGGCCAGATATAGAGTCAGTAAGTTTCCTGTCGATCAGAGGCCAGATATAGAGTCAGTAAGTTTCCTGTCGATCAGAGGCCAGATATAGAGTCAGTAAGTTTTAGACAGATCTCCGTCTTAATAACTATCAGAGATCAGATATGGAGCCAGTAAGTTTCAGACTGACCCCCGTCATAATAACTATCAGAGGCCAGATATAGAGTCAGTAAGTTTCAGACAGACCTCCGTCAAAATAACTATCAGAGGCCAGATATAGAGTCAGTAAGTTTCAGACTGACATCCGTCATAATAATTATCAGAGACCAGATATAGAGTCAGTAAGTTTCAGACTGACCTCCGTCATAATACCTATCAGAGGCCAGATATAGAGTCAGTAAGTTTCAGACTGACATCCGTCATAATAACTATCAGAGGCCAGATATAGAGTCAGTAAGTTTCAGACTGACCTCCGTCATAATAAATATCAGAGATCAGAATAGATATAGAGTCAGTAAGTTTCCTGCCGACCACCGTCATAATAACCATCAGAGGCCAGATATAGCCAGTAAGTGTCTCGCCAGCCTCCGTCATAATAACTATCAGAGGCCAGATATAGAGTCAGTAAGTTTCAGACTGACCTCCGTCATAATGATTATCAGAGATCAGAATAGATATAGAGTCAGTAAGTTTCCCGCCGACCACCGTCATAATAACCATCAGAGGCCAGATATAGCCAGTAAGTGTCTCGCCAACCTCCGTCATAATAATTATCAGAGATCAGATATAGAGTCAGTAAGTTTCAGACAGATCTCCGTTATAATAACTATCAGAGATCAGAATAGATATAGAGTCAGTAAGTTTCCTGCCGACCACCGTCATAATAACCATCAGAGGCCAGATATAGCCAGTAAGTGTCTCGCCAACCTCCGTCATATTGACTATGAAAAAAACTACTTTTTTTATTCAATAATCTATATTTTCGTGATTCCTTTTTAGAATACTAACAGTATTTTATATTATTTATAATATAATTCGCATTAAACAGCTGTAGTAAACTTAAGTCAGAGTCTAACAGCTTAGCAGACTTAGCTGCTGGGTTTCAGCAAAGTTGGTCACTGTAATCACAACGACTTACTTACAGGACATGTCTAATCAATGCCTTATAAATATTATACATACTCGTCGTATGTTCTGTTGCCAGTAATTCCAGTACCACGAATAAAGGCAGCTCCTCTAGTTCCTCCCTCGTATATAGTAAATTTACCGCCTCGTAATGGATAGTTATTACCATAGTACGACACCCATCCACCGTTCTGGAAAACAAGACCATCTTTGCTCAAAATGGTTTTAGTCTAAAAATCGGAGAGGGTTGCTGGCCAATTGTTAAACCCATGCTGCAAACTAATTGGCATGTAATTTTTTCTTTATTTGTAGGTCGTCTCAGGGGAAGATTACTCTCAACTGTAAATTGGTGGGAAACAACAAACAAAAGAGTTGGAAACATACGTCTGCAGTAAAGAGTATAATGGTATCATCATATATTCCTTTTTGTTTTAAAGCTGCAGTTACATTCCCAATTCCTTCATCTAAAGCTGAGACCATACCTGTACGAAATGATAAATTAATATTCATTTCATGACATAGACGGAATTTGCTGTTTCGTTACACTGAAAAATGCTGATTGTGAGTGCTAATCTCGGTCGGTGCGCATTGATACAGCCGACTCAGCTGTTAATTTGTATGCCACGGATAATCCGAAAAAGATCCGCCAAGTGGTGTATTGACCAAGGAACCAATGGAAGACAGCATCTTCTGGAACTTGTTGTACGAGCATTCCTGTAAAAAATGGACGCCTCTCTCTTTCTTTCTATTGGGTTGTTAATAATATACTTTAGTTAACCTTCTGAAAATAGTTAACAAACCTGAAAATTTGCGTCTACCTTCTGACTGTATATTAGGATACATGTTTTCATATTGTTTTGGTACCTGAAAGAACGAAATTATTTGTAAGGTAAGTACCGTAGATAAATAAAAATTAATCGTCCATCGAATTTACTTACGTGGATAGGATAGGAGGTAGATAGAGAAATATAGGTTCACTTACCCACCTTGTTTACGTATTTCGAGGTTGGTGTACAACTTGGTAATGTAGGTACATAAATCAAGATTACTTACCTCGATAGGTTGTTGTACAGCTTGGTAAGATAGATACAAAAATAAAGGTTACTTATCTCGATAGATTGTTGTACAGCTTGGTAAGATAAATGGTCGTACAAAAGGAATGTTTCCTTACCTCGATAGGTTGGTGTACAGCTTGGTGAGGTCGGTACAAAAGGAATGTTTACTCACCTCGATAGGTTGGTGTACAGCTTGGTGAGGTCGGTACAAAAGGAATGTTTACTCACCTCGATAGGTTGGTGTACAGCTTGGTGAGGTCGGTACAAAAGGAATGTTTACTTACCTCGATAGGTTGGTGTACAGCTTGGTGAGGTCGGTACAAAAGGAATGTTTACTCACCTCGACAGGTTCATGTACAGCTTGGTGAGGTCGGTACAGAAATAAAGGTTTTCTTACCTCGACAGGTTCTTGTACAGCTTGGTGAGGTCGGTACAGAAATAAAGGTTTACTTACCTCGATAGGTTGGTGTACAGCTTGGTAAGGTCGGTACAGAAATAAAGGTTTACTTACCTCGATAGGTTGGTGTACAGCATGGTACGGTCGGTACAGAAATAAGGTTTACTTACCTCGATAGGTTCATGTACAGCTTGGTAAGGTAGATACAGAAATAAAGGTTTACTTACCTCGATAGGTTCATGTACAGCTTGGTAAGGTAGATACAGAAATAAAGGTTTACTTACCTCGATAGGTTCATGTACAGCTTGGTAAGGTAGATACAGAAATAAAGGTTTACTGGTATCATGTTGCGAGATGACAGATTCAGCTCTCTTGGTAAAGGCATGCTGAAAAGTAGAACAGAATAAAAGCAAAAGTAGCCAGGTCATGAGGGCATGCAAATGAAAATTTCATGGTGATTTCCCATTTAAAGGCCAATGATCAGAAACTTGTTGAAGAGAAGTTGGACGTAATACTATATCATTTCATTATACACTGATAAGGCTCTGTGACTCAAGCCCTATTTCCAGCGCGATACAGCATCGCCTCTCAGTTATCTCAATAACCAAATTAGTGAAATTACTAATTGCATAAAAGTAGAAAGTGTATATAATTCCCATACATTAATCCATCTATCATCTTGGTTTCAAAGCGCACAGGACTTTAAAGTATATTTCGTTTCTGAATATATTTAAAGACGAACCGTAGAGTAGACGCCATCTTGATCCCTAACAGGTTGACGGTCATCACGATAATCCAGAAAATATCCTGAAATTTACAACAATCCTTTCAATGTTGACCTATATAATATTTCATCACTATAATCTCATAACAATGTATGTGTACTGTTACATATTATAAAGCTTTGGTCGTGGGTCATTGCATGCTTTTCGAACGGGTTGTAGCACAGTCAGTTCAAGTCATATAATTAGACCCCACTTGTTTAAATATGCCGATGAATTGGTGGTCGTGGGTTCCATGTAAGAGACGATATTCACAGATCTCCTACAACAAATTAGGATACAATGAAGCGGTTATTGGATATGTTAAAATCCTTTGTAGTGTAAAATCAAAACACTAGAAAAGTTATAGTTGCTTTCCGTGGACGAATTGCTCTACAATTATGTATCTTATTGTACATTTCGATTGGTCGAATTGCGAGCAAAACGGTAGGATGTAAAGCTCTAGTTACCGACAATACGAACCTTTGAAAGGCACTCTACTAAGACTGTGGTTATAGTAGTCTTCATCAGCATTGTAATATCCAAAGAATGAATCGAAGCCTCGGTATGTTGGAGTACATTCCCATTTACAGAAACCGAGATGCCATCTAAAAAAAAGACCAATTGATATCAGGGTTTTGTCTGAACATCGTTATCGAAGTCAATGTCACAGGCATCAAAATGATAGCTATAATCAACTCTACTAATTCTACTGGTTACAGGTATTTAGGTTAAATGGTGTTTGCAATAGTGACGTCATAATCTGATACAGTTTTTTTTCCAGAATACAGAAAGTTGAACTCAGATCATTGAACGTCATAGCTTATGTAGGTGAAAAGCTATTATTTGGAAAGTGGTAGGCTAATTGTTTTTGTTCCTTAACCTAGTTTGCTATTTGTTCCGGAAAGTGGGTTGCTTACCGAAGTTATATAGTCAGGTATGATCATTAATAAAAGCACTTTTTATCACCACATGAATGGTAAGTTTCTAGAGAGTCAGTAAAGAGTACTTACTTGCCAATCATGTGAGTGGCATATCCGAGTTTCTTCAGTTCTTGTGGTAGAGTAGATATATTGAGAGGTAAACAGACGGGTTGGAAGGATATGATTACTAAATGCTGAAAATTATACAAAATATTGTCATTCCATTCATATCAAGCGAGTTAAAATACAAACATTGTCAGACCACGCGAGACAAATGTTAAACTTCAACTCCTTTTGACCAAAGACTTCGTCTAAAACCTTGGCATCATTAAACACTTTTCTTGTATCAGAGAGAATATATCCAACCAGAGCCATCAACAAATACACTTTACTCAAAAAGTCTGCGCGTGTAAACTCATGTTTTGATTTACAGAAGAAAATGAGTTTTATTTTATAGAAAGTGTCCACTGATGTCAAGGTATTAGACGGAGTAAACAATACCTTAACATTGTGGAGATTCGTACTCACTTGTAAGCCAGTTCTAAAAGGATAATACCCACTCATAAACGAACTTCTAGACCTAAAAATATTCCATACAAACTTGTTTAGACCATAATCGAAAAATTTGATACTGGTTAAAATAGAAATCATACCACCTATACTCTAATTGTGAAGTGAAAGTGATATAGTCATTTCAGCAGTTGTAAATCCATTGTCATCCACAAGTATAATCAGAATCGAAAATTGAGGAAACAATCGCTACTGCGCTTGATCAACAATCAAGCTAAGGATTTGAGATGGACTGATTTGATCCAGAAAAGGGTTGTTTTGTGAACTGTTGGTGTGTACCAGGGACACTTATAGCATTGATTTGTGCCATTCTTATTTTAGATATTATTGTTTAGCAGCTCGTGCGATTGTTACATCATATGAATTATACATTTCTATAATTACAGGAACCACAGAAATCTGATGGAAAATTTGATTGATGCAAACATAAATAATGGCCCGAATACACATTAAAAGAACGCTAAAAATCTCTTTACAAATATTACAATAAAAAGTTGGTTATACAGGTACTTACGGACTACAAAGTGGTTGAACATAAGATTGGTTGAGTATAACTCCTTCCCGTGCCAGTTTATCGATATTCGGGGTTTTTATTTCGGGGTTATGGTACCCCACATCATTCCAACCTGACAATTAACATGACAAACATACAGAAATCAATGTGGCTGACAAAAAGTGCTGGTGCCGAAAGAGTAAAGAACGGGTTTCATTTTACGAAAAGAGACAAACATATACGCCTTAAACTAAAACTTAACATGCGTAGAGAACAGTTAACAATAGAACTGATAATTGTTAACAGTAAAACAGAGAACTGTTAACAATAGAACAGAGAACTGTTAACAATAGGACAGAGAACTCTTAACAACAGAACAGAGAACTACTGTTAACAATAGAAAAGAACTGTTAATAGTAAAAGACAGAACTGTGAACATAACAGTAGAAAAAAAGGTCTGTTAACAATAGAACAGAACCGTTAACAGTAGACCATAGAACTGTTAACAGTAGACCATAGAACTATTAACAGTAGACCATAAAACTGTTAACAGTAGACCATAGAACTGTTAACAGTAGACCATAGAACTGTTAACAGTAGACCATAGAGCTGTTAACAGTAGACCATAGAACTATTAACAGTAGACCATAGAACTATTAACAGTAGACCATAGAACTATTAACAGTAGACCATAGAACTGTTAACCGTAGACCATAGAACTGTTAACAGTAGACCATAGAACTGTTAACAGTAGACGATAGAACTATTAACAGTAAATAGAGAACTATTAATAGGAAAACAGAGAACTGCAAATAGTAGACCAGAGGACTATTAACAATAGACCAGAGGTCTATTAACAATAGAACAAAGAACTGTCAACAGTAGAACAGAACTGTTAATAGTAGACCAGATGACTATTAACAATAGAACAAAGAACTGTCAACAGTAGACCAGGGAACTGTTAACAATAGAACAGAGAACTGTCAACAATAGAACAGAGAACTGTTAATAGTAGACCAGAGGACTATTAACAACAGAACAAAGAACTGTCAACAGTAGACCAGGGAACTGTTAACAATAGAACAGAGAACTGTTAAGAAGAGAACAGAGAACTATTAACAATAGAACAGAGAACTGTTAATAGTAGACCAGAGTTCTGTTAACAGTAGACCATAGAACCGTTAACAGTAGACCATAGAACTGTTAACAGTAGACCATAGAACTATTAACAGTAGACCATAGAACTGTTAACAGTAGACCATAGAACTGTTAACAGTAGACCATAGAACTGTTAACAGTAGACCATAGAACTGTTAACAGTAGACCATAGAACTGTTAACAGTAGACCATAGAACTGTTAACAGTAGACCATAGAATTATTAACAGTAGACCATAGAACTATTAACAGTAGACCATAGAACTATTAACAGTAAATAAAGAAAAATTAATAGGAAAACAGAGAACTGTTAATAGTAGACCAGAGGACTATTAACAACAGAACAAAGAACTGTCAACAGTAGACCAGGGAACTGTTAACAATAGAACAGAGAACTGTTAACAATAGAACAGAGAACTGTTAATAGTAGACCAGAGGACTATTAACAATAGAACAAAGAACTGTCAACAGTAGACCAGGGAACTGTTAACAATAGAACAGAGAACTGTCAACAGTAGACCAGAGGACTATTAACAATAGAACAAAGAACTGTCAACAGTAGAACAGAGAACTGTTAATAGTAGACCAGAGGACTATTAACAATAGAACAGAGAACTGTCAACAGTAGACCAGGGAACTGTTAACAATAGAACAGAGAACTGTTAAGAAGAGAACAGAGAACTATTAACAATAGAACAGAGAACTGTTAACAATAGAACAGAGAACTGTTAATAGTAGACCAGAGGACTATTAACAACAGAACAAAGAACTGTCAACAGTAGACCAGGGAACTTTTAACAATAGAACAGAGAACTGTTAACAATAGAACAGAGAACTGTTAATAGTAGACCAGAGGACTATTAACAATAGAACAAAGAACTGTCAACAGTAGACCAGGGAACTGTTAACAATAGAACAGAGAACTGTTAAGAAGAGAACAGAGAACTATTAACAATAGAACAGAGAACTGTTAATAGTAGACCAGAGGACTATTAACAATAGAACAAAGAACTGTCAACAGTAGACCAGGGAACTGTTAACAATAGAACAGAGAACTGTCAACAGTAGACCAGGGAACTGTTATCAATAGAACAGAGAACTGTCAACAGTAGACCAGGAAACTGTTAACAATAGAACAGAGAACTATTAATAGGAAAACAGAGAACTGCAAATAGTAGACCAGAAGATTGAAACAGTAAAATATAAAATCAAGTGCGTTGTACACATAACTGATAATTCAACTACTTTGATTGGGTGTATATAATTCATATAAAGTTCGAATGTCTTCTCGTAGTGATATTAATTATTGCATATAAATATACTCACCCAAATCGTCTGCAACTATAAATACTATATTTGGCGGTTTCGATTCACTTAAAGTCAGAAGGTACATAAACAGTACAATAAAACAGCCCAGGGCCGGCATGTTGAATCTGTTTTTGGGGTGATTATTAGATCTATGAACTAACATCGGATGTTTTATACTGAAATGTGGTCATTAACACTGCTAAAATACATTTTACTCCAAAAGATTACAAACAACTGTACTGTGTATCGAGACGCGAAAGGTTAAAATATAGAACGTTATTATGAACGGTTTATAAGTCAATATATAGGCTAGTAGTATTCAATGAGTCACGTGAAAATGATGGTCAGATTACCGTGACATGCTTTGTCATTGTACATGCGATTGTAAAGTCAACTATATTAGAGTAGTAAACCCAAAGCCAGGCTTGATTGTTCGGAGGGGAAAGTAATATATCCGGAGAGGCAATGGTATAATAGTTGCAGTAATGGAATCGGTCGGTTTTCAGACTATTTCGGAACCCCTGTATTCTCGAAACGATCTTAGCGCTTGGATGTCATAGAATCAATGTTAGAAGATAAGAACCTAGGACACCCTAGCGCTAAGATCGTTTCGAGAATACGAGGCCAGGAGAAGTTATTTATATCTATGTTTCTTCTTGATCAAACTGAATTTGTTTTAGATGGGTTAATTTAAAAAGGAGAGTACTAATTGTTAATTAAGCAGTTTGACCTAGTTTTTGGCTCGATATTATTAATTGGAACCTTTCTCTACAATAAGGCGTTCATTTTACTCAAATCCGTACAGTAGTTCCAAAAGGCATAACTAGCTTTAAAACCTTACGTAATATTTTTGACATTTAAAAATTAACGGATGGATTCTTTAAGTTAAATCTTTCAGATGTGTTAACGTGCACATTTCTCTAGAATTTGGTGTATAGTTTAAACAAATTTGAGCCAAAAAAAATTTCGACCTGCAAAGAATAGGGCATTACTAAGCACCAACATGATTCAGAATTAAAATAAAGAGCGTAAATTTAATCTACACCGATATAGCAAATATGCCGGTTTCTTACTTCAGATCATAGGCTAATAGAGGTTTTGGCTCATTCAATAGCCGCGTTTACACAGCCATTAAAAAATTGACCCGCTTGAAGTTAACCGTACTCGGTCCGGACTCGGCTGCGCTGTTTTCAGTACTGTTTCACTTCAGAATGGTCTCTCCAGTCAGTGGAGGCGCGAAAAAAAAAACACACCGACATTCAAAATGCCGTCAACCATAAAAAAGGCGATCATTTTGAAGTCGTCATTAATTTTGTCGCGTTCACAGCGTAAACGATTTTTAAAAATCTCTAATTTTGTTTTTGAGAAATATAATTTTATGTTTTCTTGAATATCCATCCACTGCGCTAACTTTTTCAAACACGATGTATTCTATTACGACATTACATGTCATAGGGTCAAGGTCATTATTGCACATTGGCACTTCTTGAAAAAGTGGGCTCGGTCTAGTGGCGCGTCCAGACCGAGACCACCTCTCATTGCGTGACTCTCATTTTCGAGGGAGAAAACATCGGACCAGCCAAATCCTCATACATTGTGCAGAAAAGTAGGACGTAAAACTCCATTCATTTCATTTCAAAATTTCAACTATTTATTATATCAATATAACATATACAAAATATATACACAATCCTTAGTAAATAGCTTGTCGTGATGAGGATTTTAGTTTATAAAAATGGACGGCTACTATATGTTAAACCAAGTTAGTATTTTAAGTTGAATGATAATTCATTATTAAATATTCCACTATAACTAGGCCTACTGTGGTGGTGTCTCTATTGAGGCAAGGCATGCTCACTTAGAACGGAGCTCCTGATGACACTTGGTGTCTAGATTATTCAACAGACTTTCAGACAGTCTACATGTTTAATCAATTGTGCTGTTTCTGATGAGAAATCAACATAAAGTCCTCATACTTTGAAGCGCATTTTGTGTAAAATATTTGTTCATAAGCTCATAGGAACCTCGTTAGTGGTTGTGAAGTAGCACATCTTTGGCACATTAGCATTCTGCTGATATCGTAGAAATGTCGGAAGAGACGACAGTTCTTAAATGTGGACACAATTTAGCTTTCAATATTGGTACAAGAACCACGATAGCTGTTCAATGCACTGAGGAAAATTGTATTGCTGACACTGCCATCTTGACCACGTGGTGTAATACTTAGAAACGTTGTGGTATCATCCACGATATATCGGTATCTGAAATGATGAACAAATTGATGCAGTTGCATTACAAAAGGAGAACAGTCGATCAAAAGAAACATCAGCAAACCTTTACAATACTAAGTTTCACCACTTTGAGTAAGGACCATTTTGACTACAATTGCAGGATCCTTTTCGACATGGGATGAATAGGTCTATCTATATAACCCAATTATCTCAGCTATGACTAAAATCAAAGTTGTGGAAAATTCAATAGGAAATAATTGATTAGAGAAAACCCGCTATTAACATATCGAAATTTAAAGGGCCGATTGAAATCATTTGGAAAACAAGGTAGACTTACATCTCTTCGTTGCTTCTGGTTTTAAACCTAACTGGGTTCTGTCCCATCATGACTACAGAGTCTCCATATTTAAAAGCAGGACAAGAACAATCTAACGAAGCGGCGTAGAGGATTTGGTGATCAGCTTGTACTGGATGGATTCCTGAAAGAAAGAATGGATAAATATATACCTTCATGGGTGACTCTAATACTCCGAGAGCAATTGTTCAAACTGACAACTTTAGCCCCAGAGAATTAGGAAATCCCCTACCATTTTACACCACTATAATGTAACTCTGCATTTGAGAAGGTGTGTTCTCCTGCATTTTTTCTCAGTGGTGGGGGCCCTCTTACAGGTTTTAGACCCGTGGACTTGGTTCCACCAGTCCCTATACTAGTTGAGCCTCTGGTCAAATTACACCTTCCTGATTATATTTATTTATTCTTATTACCTACCTAATTTATGAGGATGTTTAATAACGGCTGACATATATTTAGAAGAAACTGTTGTATTAGTGCCTTTTACACCCAAGCCATACACTGGAATAAAATGAAAGTAGAAATTTAAGGAGAAATTAGCATCTGAAATGCACCTTACTGAATTGGCCACGCCTTCTGTTCTGTTGGCACCTGTGTTGCCGCTACCTGATTAAATGCAGATCAAGAAGTTTGGTGGGTTTTTTTGCTGGTTTTTTTTTTGCTGGTTACACTTACTTGTCAACTATGATCTAACAAGATTCTTTGGAATTTTGAATCAAGTAGCGTTTTGAACACATCTTCCAATTGGTTGAATAGTAAATGACTCAGAACATAAGATGCCTAGCAATATCGTCAGAGTAAAAGCCTATTTAAAACCTTATTACACCAATATACAACTTGCAATTAGGGCATTAGCCCAATTGTTTTAGAACATCAGGACATTGTAAAAGAAAATCACATCAAAATAGGGCATCTTGAATTAAATGTGATCAAACCCTAGGGTAACAACATATTTCTCATGCTCAGCTTAGTTTTTACTCAACTTGATAATGTCACTCGCATCACCAAATTTATGCGATAATGCCAGAAACATTGAGCCCTATATTAAAAGCCCTAAGGACTAGATTGATACATTTTTCTCTTTGATACAAATAGTTATGCATCTGTAATAGCTCCCTCAAATTTGAGTAAAATCTTAGTTTAATATGAAAAATGTTTGAGGTCCCGGGGGCGCAGCAGAATATATATAGATGATTCCAATTACACCAGAACTTACCGACATCTGATTGACACATTTTTTGCATCAAATCAAATCTTGTGATTGGTTTAGATTTTGATGGACAGGTACCACACAAGCCTGGAATGAAATTCAACAAATAGGTCAACATTTCCGCTGGGAGAAGGTTTATCAATATAAGTAAAGGTTTCAAAGTAAATCAAGGACTGTGGGTTGTTTTTTTCATTCCGTCGTTGACCAATGTCATACTAAAAAGGATGACACAAGGGATAGCAATCGTAGAGTAAGAAGTCAGCTTGACACCCCTGTGAAATTACTAGGAAGGGTTTTGTTAGTTGGGCCATGTCAGAACTAAAGCTGGCAGCCGTTGGCCCCTACACTCTCAAATTTCTTACCATTTTACAAATGGAAAGAATTGCCCCTACTCGCCACCATTTAACTTATTAATTCTAGAAACGCCTGCTACAAATTAAATTCTAATAGCAAGATACAATGGAATCAATACTGTAGAATTGGAAGAAGCGAATACGCGAGTTATTGGTCCGTGCCTCTGATACACTCGATGACAGGGTGTATTCACACAACACAATACAAACGCTCACCTGATATGCATTTACATTGTCCTTTATATCTCTGGTTTTGTGTCAGACAGTACATAGGCAGAGTTGTGGACTTATCTCCCGCGTTATAATTCTCTAGACATATTTCTTCTGAAAACGTAAAGAAGTATCAGTAAATTTACTTTCGGATTCAAACTCATAATATATAGAAGAATTTCGTGATTTTTGTGATCTGAACAGTGTATGCGGAAGTTCGGAAGTCAATACTCATTTAGATCTTAGCTTAACATGCAATGGCGAGTCATTTTTCAAAGGTTTCTAGATCAATCAATCTTAAATCAATGTAAATCTGGTTGTGTTTAAAGTGATTTTATTGGTTTCATTATAAGACACCGTACCTGGTTTAGATGGTTGAACGACCACTATAGAAGCAGGCTGTAAATAATTAACAAGTTCCTCTTCTTTCACTCGGAACTGAAGACACACTGACTTATTATTGGGCACCTGCAAAACAAAATAGTGTCATATACGGTTAAGATCAATGCCATGATGTCTATGATGACCAGCTGGTAGAAAGGACCCTAAGTGAACCTAAGTTGGTATGCTTATAAAAATGTAATTTTTTTTTCCTTTACTTCCTTTTGAATTTTTGGTGATTAAGCACTAAGCATTGGTCTATCTTAATTAGTCATTTTTGATCCGATTTTCTTTCCTATAATCGTTATGTCATTCTAGACAATAGCTTCTGGGGAAAACTTTCGT